TTAAACATTTCTTCTGAATTCCCATGCCAACCTGAAGGCTATTTAAGTTTACGTTAGCTTGATGTTGATTTTGATGAATATTTTTTACTTTGCCTGTCAAACAACAGTGTACTTCAGCTAAATCTGTTAAAATATTAGAAGTGTGGGGTTTTGTTGTTTTTTTACGAAACAGATGGGTGAATGAAAATCAAGTGGCAGGATGGAGCCAAGTACCGATGTCCTGCAGTCGAGTTGTTCCTTCTCCGAACAGAGTGAAGGAGTTGTGGACGAGGCGACGGTGATGCTTCCAGAGAGGGGTGTAGTCTGAAAATGCGATGTCTTTGCCTCCTCTGGTCAGCAGGTTGGTGGTGACCTGCAGGGAAAAACAAGGATGAATGTAAGAACAGTTTCAAAACAGTACTTCAAAATAAAATGGAAGAAAAATATTCAGACAAGGACACTGCTGAGAGCAGCACAGAGACAGGAAATGACATTGACCTGACACCAAGGACGAAAACCAACACTATTTCTGTTTCTGTGAAGGGTTTTCTAAAAATGCAGTGGGTTTTTCTTCTGTTGTGTTTTTCATATCAGAGTAGCTGTGAAATGGTTTACAGGCATGAAATATACATAGGAAAATCCACATTACGTAACAGTTACATTACTGAGGTTCTCACTAAGCTGGGGGCATCTTAATGAAAGACTTCACATGTGTTTAATTAAGGGTGGGAAGTACACTAAAGGTGAAGGGTTTATAATTATGGATAAGCGTTAACCTCAAATAAACTTTGTAAAATAAATAATAATAATAATTTTTGTAAAATGAAATATGAGTTATATAGTTTTTTGATTTAGCTAAAATGTTCCATAAACTGGATGTTCTGCCTTGAGTTTAGTGCCCCCTACTGGGCCTTGTAAATTGTTGTTAATGTGACATGCACTTTGACCCAGAACAGGAAGTTGACCATGTTAGTTAGGGTAAGCAGGTTCACATGTGCTGAAGGGTTCCTGTAGTTATCCACTGCAATCCTCTTTCTTGTTTATGCCTTCGAAAGCAGCGTCTGTAAGTACTTGTTGACTTAAGAGTATAGAGCCATATTTTAGTAACATTTGCTAAATTTGCTAAGCTAACCACATGTCATGTATACATAGGATGACCTGTTACATGAATATGTCTTTGTCTTTTGTTGCTAGCCTTGACTTGCTATAGAGTAGATAATGGCATTTGTAATATATCATTGTGTTAATCACCTTACTATTGTATTTTTTC